TAATTAAACACAAGCTGGTGATTGGATTATTGGACGGAGATGCTGTTATTTTATCATGTGACGTCTACCAAACATGTCAGAACCTCGAAACTAACTATCAACCCTTGCTTGAAATACTTCTGTTATTTGGGCAAACGTTAGATTAACCCAACGTTGCCATATTGTTTTAAGTCGAGCTGCGTATGGACGTCCACGCTGGTGCATTGCTCGTGCTGCCCGGTTCTGAATAGGCTATGGCCCGGGAGTGGGCTGCGGTCCATAGGTTGGGGACCCCTGACTTATAGCACACTCTGAGAGTTTACAAAGTCAGCGTATTACCCCCAACAATCTGGATTTTAATTAATTTCTTTTTCCAGTTTAGAATGCAAGCAGTTTATGGTTATTTTAACTTCTGGTTACAGAGTTCACATCACCATCATCATCATCACAATCACTTTGGGAGGTTCAGTAGACTGGAGGGAGAGACAGACAGACAGACAACAGAAATACTAGCCATCCTAAAACAAACGAAGAACGGTTACAGGAACTGGGTATGTCTAGTGTAATGAAAAGAAGGACCAGGGTGACATGATAGCAGTGCTCCAATATTTGAGGGGCTCTTACAAAGACGAGGGGGGGGGGTGTCAACCTATTTTCCAAAGCACCAAAAGGCAAGACAAGAAACAATGGTTGGAAATTAACCAAGGAGGGAAGCAACCTAGAACTAAGGAGAAATTTCCTAACGGTGGAAGCAATCAACCAATGGAATGGCTTGCCTTCAGAAGTTGTAGGTGATCCATCACTGGAGGATTTCAAAAAGAGACTGGACAGCCATTTGTCCAGAATGGTATAGGGTCTCCTGCTCAAATAGGAGGATGGCCTAGAGGACCTCCAAGATCCTTTCCAACTCTATTATTCTATGTTCATTCAGGGAGTTTCTCTGGTTGAAAACAGTCAAGAATCTGAGATTTCAGGTTCCAATAACCACATCATACTACTATTTCTTCTTCCTCCTCCTCCTCCTCCTCCTCTTCTTCCTCCTCCTCCTCCTCCTTCTTTTCCTTCTTCCTCTTCTTCTTCTTCTTCCTCCTCCTCCTCCTCCTCTTCTTCTTTTTTTAGCATAAGTGGTTTTCAACACACTTCTTTTCTAGCCAGCATTGGTAAGCCACCTTAGGAAATGATTTCTGCGACTGCGTACAAGTGCACACCCAGAGAGCAATGTTTCTGACTGATGTAAGGTATTCATTCCTCTGTAGAGAGACCGCGTAACTGAAAGCAGACTCTTGAACCCTGAAGCCTGAAACAGCCAGGGTTATTATTTCATACTCAACGCAAACTTTGTTTGCATTTAACAGACAAAGAAAGTCACTTACCAATCACCGATTGGGAATCGCGTTATAATAACTGTACTTGACTAGAAAATTGGGTGTTAGTTACAGTCTTCATCACAAGATTTGCCAGAGGCAATTCTCCGCCATTCAAGCTAGGCAGCATTCCACCGACTTTGTATAAACAAATATGTCCAAGAGTTTCAGGTCCTACCAACACTGGTAACCAGGGTCTGTTCACAATACAATGTGCTTTTTGTCTTGGGGATCCCATCACAAGCATGACCTCATGCAGACAAATGTTATTTATTAATGTCAATGCATTCGTTACATTATTCCCTTGGTTCAGGATGACTTAAAAATAATTTTAACACCAACGCTCCCCTTGGTTTCTGCTGCCTCCAGTGACAGCAGAAGTATTTTTACAACACCCGGCATTTTGCTCTCTTAAATAGAAAGGGAAATTGTTTCCCCTAAATATTAGAGTTTGCTAGAAAAAGAAAGTTGAAACGTTAACTGGACTGTGTCAAATTTCTCAGTAAAGCCTGGGTTTTTTTATTTTGTTTTTTTGTTTTATTAAAACTGCAATAGAATTTCAACTGGAAAACATACCACCGAAGTGTAATAGACCAAAACATGGCACTTTCCAAAAATTTGCCAAGTCAAGGAAGATATAAATACAGAAAGGTTTCTTTTGATCAACAAACAAATGAAATGTTTACTCAAGCGGGAAGCACGAACTTACATTTGTTTCAGCTGCCTAATAACAACTATCTGAGGACTAAAATCATCAGGAACAGCCAGAAACACCAATTATTTAAATACATCAGAAACAGACACGGGAGTGGATCACAGTTAAGGGAGAAGAGAAACTTCAGAAAAATTGAATAATTTATTTGCAACTGCTTTTGGAAGCGGTAAACAAACCCCTATCCTTGACTAGAGATAAACCAGAATAATAATAATAATAATAATTAAAAAAACAGATGCAAGCAACAATTAACAAGAGAGTATTAAAAAAATGCATCAATAACTAACTTCGCAAAATATCTGTTGTTTTTTTTGAAAGAAAGGCCCAAAGATGAAACAGTTGAAGAAGAAGAAGAAGAAGAAGGAGAAGAAGAGGAGGAGGGGGAAGAAGGAGGAGGAGGAGGAGGAGGAGGAGGAGGAGGAGGAGGAGGAGGAGAAGGAAGAAGAAGAGTAGTTACCAGATCAATGTAACTCTATTTTGTGAGATGAGGAGAAATGCAGGGAAGTACAAACCCATTTGGCTTACATTTATTCCACATTAGGTGGGTGGTAATATGATAACATATCAAATGATAAGGCCCATGAAAGAAACATTATTCTGAAGGAACCTTTAGGTGGCCCTGGGAAACTGGTTCCCAGAGCCTCACAAGCTCTTTTCATGGTGGGAAGTAAACCTGATCAGTTAAGACAGAATCCCAAGAGTTATTTCAATCTTTTGGATACGGCATCATCTCATGTTGATTCTACTCGGCTGGTGACTTCAACCAACAACAACAACAACAACAACAACAACAACAACACAATCACAATACCATATGCTGCAGCCGATGAAAGAGCCTGTGCAGTCTTGGCTAAGATCTGTAGATGTCAAGATGATGGCAGGTGTCATTTGCAATCTATAATGCCCTGACTGGACTATAGTACTGTGTGCCATTTTGGGGACCAAGATACAAAAGGATGCAAGGAGGATATCCTGGAATCAGCGCAGATAAAGTTATCAAAGATAAGGAAGGGTTTGGAGTCTAAATCCTATTGAGAACGGTGGAAGATACAGGTCAGCTTCACTTTGAAGGGCCCCCCCCGGGGAAGAGGGGGTAGAAGTCTCCAGGATACAGTGCTCAAGAAGAGAAGGTAAGAAGCAATGGTGGAAGCTTTATAGGGAGAGGGCGGGGAGGAGAGAGGGAGAGAGAGACGGGGGAGGGAAGGAAGGACAGAGAAAGAGAGAGGGAAAGGGGAGAGGGAGAAAGAGTGGACGGAGGGAGAGAGAAGAAAAGTGGGAGGGAGGGAGGAAGGAGGGAGGGGGAGGGAGGGAGAGATGGGGAGGGAAGGAGAAAGAGCCTTGGTAGTACAGTGGTTTAAGGCACCCTGTTATTAAGCTGGTTATTAAGACCAGCTGTCTGCAATTACTGTAAGTTCGAATCTCACCAGGCTCAAGGTTGACTCAGCCTTCCATCCTTTCTAAGGTAGGTAAATTGAGGACCCAGTTGTGGGGGCAATAAGCTGACTTTGTATAAATATACAAAAAGGATGAAGGCTATTGCTGAGCACATTGTAAGCCGCCCTGAGTCTTCGGAGAAGGGCGGCATATAAATCAAATTTAAAAAAAAAAAAGAGGGAAAGGGGAGAGGGAGGGGAGGGAGAATGTGAGAGAGAGGAAAAGGGGGAGGGGGGAGAGAGAGACGGGGAGGGAAGGAAGGACAGAGAAAGTGAGAGGGAAAGGGGGAGGGAGGGAGAGAGAAGAAAGGGGGAGGGAGCGTGTGAGAGAGAAGAAAAGGGGAAGGGAGGGAAGGGGAGGGAGGGAGAGAGAAGGGGGAGAGAGAGGGAGAGATGGGGCGGGAGGGAAGGAGAGAGAGGGAAAGGGGAGGGAGAGGGGGAGAATGTGAGAGAGAGGGAGAGGGGAGAGAGGAGGGGGAGGGGAAGAGAGGAGACAGACCCAACCTGAAATTAGGAGGAAGTCCCTGACCATGGGGGCTCCATCAGTGGACATTTTCAAACAAATAAATGATCTGTCCAGCCTCTTCTCAGAATTGCTGGGCAGGGGTCTGGACTGAGGAAATCTCCATGATTCTTTTGAACCTGCACTGTTTATTGCTCTATACGCAAAAGAAAGCCAAACATTTAAAATATGATCTCTTGGGAAAATGTAAAAAAGGGTTTTATTGTTTTTTAAGTGTATAAAATTACCGGAGATTCAACATGTCCATACGCACATTCAAAAAAAACCAGAAGATTTCCATGTGGCTTTATGTTCCCACCCAGAGTTACCAGCCTCTCATAAAAGTTGCTTCACTTTTGTGTTGCCACTGATAATCTCATGAAAACCTCATGACATGCATGAAAACGATTAACCAACCCTCTCGCTCCCTTGCCAACTCCTTTCTCAAGGGAATGGGTCTTGCTTCATAGCGGGGCCCGTTGTTGCATTTCCAAAGCATGGCCGTGGATCCGTTTTTTTAGCGCCGCTTTGCATGAATAATGACACCATAACCTTCTCCATCGGGAAGCGAGGAGAGAAAAGGGGGCACCAAGAACAGAGAACTGGAGGGACTGAATGATGTGGGGAGAGGGAGAGAGTGGGCAGCGAACGATTGGGAGGCCGGGCGCAATCCTGGAAAATCCACAGCTGCAATGCCCATCCAGCACCTTCCTTGGGGGTGGTGGAGCTTAGAACCTCTATGGTTCCAGCAAGGGAGCATGGAAGTTGCAGCCCAATAAATAACCAGCGTAGTTTGTTTGTTCCACCACCGTGTATTCATTTATTAGAAATTCTGTTTTTAGCTCTCAACCCTAAGCAGCAGTCTGTTCTAGTTGTGTCTTCGCAACAGTTCACAATAAGCAGCACTAAGATAGACGCATTCTTGGAAAGCCCCAGCCTTCCCTTTATTTGCACAAACCTTCCCCTTTTTCAAAAAGCTATGCTCAAGGAACGGGGAAGGGACTTACTGTTCCAATAGCTGGTCGTATTTGCTCAATGCATCTTTTTCAGCTATCACAGCTCTTTCCTTTTCACTCACGGCATTATCTCTTGCTTCTCTCAGGTTTCTGAAATTTAAAAAACAAAACAAATCACAATACAAAAAAAGGGATTGCACAATAAACATTCCTTTTATTCTGAAGTATTTGCTCAAAAAGCGATGGTGCGAGTTTTGTGTTTCTGGTTCCAACACGCCATAATTTGATCTTGAAAGAGAGTTTGTTTTTCCTTCCACCTCTCTTCCCTCCCTCCCCAGACTCTTAGTTCCATGTTTTTGGTCCGCATCCAGAACTCGCTTCTCAAAATATACCTACCCATTCAGTCTTTCTCTGACGATACACAGGCGCATCAAAAAGGAGGTGGAAAAGGGAGAAAAATTGACCTTTATTTGCTAGAGAACTAGAGAAACTTTGGTGTTTTGAATAATCAAGCATCAAACTTTGTGCTGAAGCTGGTCTATTATCTATCTGCATGCCCGTGGTGGGTTTCTACAGGTTCACCCCAGTTCGGGCGAACCGGTAGCGGTGGCAGTGGGAGGCTCCGTCCACCTGCCCGGATGTCATCATGGGTGCTCTGCACATGCGCAGAAGCGCCGTGCATGCGGGAAGCGAGCGCGCACGCTCACAGTTCCGAACCGGTAGCGAAGGTAAGTGAAAACCACTACTGCTGCATGCTGAAGTCATAGAGCAGAGGTCTTCAAACGTGGCAGCTTTAAGACTTGTGGACTTCAACTCCCAGAATTCTCCAGCCAGCTGGCTGGAGAATTCTGGGAGTTGAAGTCCACAAGTCTTAAAGTTGCCACGTTTGAAGACCTCTGTCATAGAGAGAGGTTGGCTGGGTTGAGTGAGGTTGGACCAAGGCTGCCTCCCATTTCATGGCTGAAAGTGGTCTCGAATTGGCACTTTCTGGTCTTAGTCCAACCTCTTAGTGCCCACCCCCAAATCTGTAGAACGGGCAATTTACAGCGACAGAACAGACCCTGCTAAAAAGCCCCATTTGTGATTTGAAGGGCGAGGGAGATCAAATTGTCAGCAAGCAGGCCTGTTCTTCGGTTCCCAAGGCTGTTGGTGAAGTTGGCTCCTGCCACAGCAGCCCAGATGACAAAATTAAAGACCAAGAAATCTAATTCAGCAGAAGAATGCAGGCATTATCCTGTTTGGGTGCTGTAAGGTGCTGTTGCCCTGAGTGATGTTGAGACACAGGTGAATTGGAGGCGGCTGATGCAGACGGAAAAAAATGCCCCGACAGATCAAGCTTCGCAACCTGAAAGAAGGTAAGCAAGAGGATAGTGGATTTCTAAAGGCCTCCAAATCCCCTTTGTGCTAAAAATATCTCTTTCCCAGCCATCGCCCTTGCTGCCACGGCCTCCTCCTCCTCCTCATTGCATAGTTTGAGACGACAGGTAAATTACCTGGACTGCCTTTTGTGGAAAGAAATTGCTAACATAAAATTTGCGACACCGATGTTTCAACTCATTTAAAGAAGAGGTCCTTCACCAGGGGTAAAATACTCCCGGTTCGGACCGGATCACCCGATCCGGTAGCGATGGCGGTGGGTGGTTCGGAGAACCGGTAGCAAAAATCCCTCCCCCCACCCCCATGCCCAGCTGAGCCGCACAATCATCAGAGGCTTTTTTTTTTTACTTTTAAAACCATTTTTTCTACAACTTCTTCCGCCGAAAAAATGCTTTTAAAAGTAAAAAAAAAAAAAAAGCCTCTGATGATCACGCGGCTCAGCTGGGATCGTCAAAGGCTTTTAAAAGAAAAAAAGCCTCTGCCCATGAGGTAACTCAGCTGGGATCGTCAAAGGCTTTTAAAAGAAAAAAAGCCTCTGCCCATGAGGCAATTCAGCTGGGATCGTCAGAGCCTTTTGAAAGCAATTTTTTTACAACCTCTTCGCCGAAGAGGTTGTAGAAAAAATGGTTTTAAAAGTAAAAAAAACAAATTTGGCCACGTCCACCCAGTCACATTACCCCACCACCACCACCAAGCCACGCGCACAGAACCGGTAGTAACGAATTTTAGATTTCACCACTGTCCTTCACTGCAGCTTGGTTGACAAGAGATCCCACATTCAAAATTTCATTCCTCAATTCATTCATTCAATTAAAAACGAGCAACTTTAAAGCCGAATCGGAGACTTTCCTTCAGTTACAAGCTTCTGTATTTGACAGCCTTAGGCTCAAAATCACATTATTATTTTTTCTGACAAGAATCCTTTCCCCTGCGGGATCCTTCCCATTCACCCTCATTTGGCACTGGAGTGGGCATACATCAAATGGGTTGATCTTTCCATGGTCTTAGTTCTGCCTTCAAACCTGGAACAGCCTCCCTCTTCCAACGCTGGCGAAGGTGAAGAGCTCTGAAAACCTAAAGATTCCCTACTTTGGGCAGAAATCTACTGTATTTTTATCCCCATTTGTAGAGTTGCCCTTCTAGCTGTAGCCTTTTGCAGGTGAACAGATGCTTGAGGTCTAGTTACAAACACCAACACCACCCTCAAGGCAAGGATGATGAGCTATAATTATTTTTTATTGAGAAACGGGTTGCCATCACACGTTAGGCATTACACAGCTAAGCTGGCTAAGCTTCCTCCAAAACCATCCTCAGATGATGATAACAAGCCACGTGGATCTTATCAGTATCTTCTCAGGAAACAGCCAGCTCAATTTCTCTCCTATTGTTCTCTCTTTACGCTATTTCTTCTTCAGAAGCAGTTCTACGTAATAATGACTAACAACAATAGCAACAACAACAACAACAAGCAGAGGCATCGAATCAAAATCATGTGAAGGAGTATTAGTACCACTTTATAAAGCCTTATCAAGGCCACACCTGGAATACTGCGTCCAGCTTTGATCACCACATTACAAAAAAGATGTTGAGACTTTGGAAAAAGTGCAAAGAAGAGCAACTAAGATGATTTTATTTATTTATTTATTTATTTTTCATATTTGTATACCGCCCTACTCCCGAAGGACTCAGGGCGGTGAACAACCATAATAAATACAAATACATATAGAAGTTAAAAACTATTAAAAAACAGATTAAGTAATTTGGCTCAAAGATTAAAACATCCAAATTTATCTAAAAGAGGTCTAAACCCGATTTAAAAGCCAGTTTAAAAGCCAATTAAAAAGGGAGAGTTAGGCCAGACCAGCTTGTTGGAATAGAAATGTTTTCAGGGCTCGGCGGAAAATGCGTAAGTCTTGGATGTTTCCTAACTCCAGGGGAAGCCCGTTCCAGATGGTAGGTGCCCCCACAGAAAAGGCTCTCCCCCTGGGGGCCGTCAGTCGACATTGTTTGGCCGACAGCACCCTGAGGAGTCCCTCTCTATGGGAGCGAACTGGTCGGTGAGAGGCTATTGGTGGCAGGAGGCAGGTGGCAGATTAAAGGCCTGGAGACTAAAACATATGAAGAACGGTTGCAGGATTTGGGTTTGGCTAGTCTAGAGAAAAGAAGGACTAGGGGGGCCATGATAGAAGCATTCTAGTATTGGAGAGGTTGCCACAAAGCGGAGGGGTTCAACTTATTTTCCAAAGCACCAGAAGGCAAGATATGCAACAATGGATGGAAACTAATCAAGGAGAGAAGCAACCTGGAATTAAGGAGAAGCTTCCTAACGGTGAGGACAATTAACCAGTGGAATAGCTTGCCTTCAGAAGTTCTGGGTGCTTCATCACTGGAGGTTTTTAAGAAGAGACTGGACAGTCACTTCAGTGATGAAATACAATTTTTTTTACTACCAGTTCTGTGGCTTGGTGGGTGTGGCAGGAGAAGGATACTGCAAAATTCCCATTCTCTCCTCACTCCTGCAGGAAGGATACTGTAAAATCCCCATTCCCTCCCCGCTCCTGGGGGAAGGATATTGCAAAATCTCCATTCCCACCACACTCAGGGGCCAGCCAGATGTGGTATTTGCTGGTTCTCCGAATCACTCAAAATTTCCGCTACTGGTTCTCCAGAACCTGTCAGAACCTGCTGGATTTCATCCCTGAGTCACTTGTCTGGGGGTTGGACTAGAAGACCTCCAAGGTCCCTTCCAACTCTATTCTGATTGAATTGAATTGAACTGATTTTCTGTGGAATCAGCCCATCTCATCCCTGGTCAGTGGCTTTTCAGCTGACGGGCGATGATTTGGCAAGTAAGACGATTTAAGCAAGATGGGTCAAACTGCGTCTAAATGAGAGCTTCTCTCTTCATGCCTCATATTCACGCTGCATGGGACATTAAAGTCCTATTATTCCATGGTTGGACTGTCCCAAATCAGATTTCAAAGCTATCACAGGCTTACTGGAAACATTTAACCAACGATGAGCTCCATGTCAGAGGTAGGTCTATAAGAAGCAAAATGTATTTTTGCTGGAATCGCTGTTGTTATAAAAGAAATTCCAGGGGGTCCTCGACTTACAACGACAATTGAACCCTAAATTTCTGTTGCTAAGCGAGAGAGCCGTTAAGTGAGGTTTGTCCCATTTTACGACTCTTCTTGCTGCAGTCGATAATACCTGCAGTGGTTAAATTAGGAACACGGCCGTCAAGAGAATCTGGCCTCCCCGTTGACTCATGATCACAACGGAGTCAAAAATTTCTGCTGCTAAGCGAGACAGTCGTTAAGTGAGTTTGTCCCCATGTTACCATTTTTCTTGCCACAGTTGTTAAACAAATCCCTGCCGTTGTTCAGTGAGTAACACCGCTGTTAAGTGAATCTGGCTTCCCCATGGACTTTGCTTATCCGAATGTCACAAAAGGGGATCACATGACCCCTAAGGCACTGCAACCGTCATAAATGTGAGTCAGTAGCTAAAGCGTCTGAATTCTGATCACGTGCTGTGGGGAATGCTGCAACGGTCGTAAGTGTGAAAAACGGTCGTAAGTCCCTTCTTTCAGTGCCGTTGTAACGTTGAACGGTCACTAAACTAACCGTTGTAAGCTGAGGAATACCTGTAATTTACCTGATTACCTGAGGAATACCTGTATTTTTCCTAAGCCTATCCCTTGGCAGGTGGGTTCTTGTAAAGGGCAGCGGGAATGGCCTTAAAGCAGGAGTCCCCAACCTTTCGGACCT